GTGGTGTTGGTTGCACAACACTGTGAATATGGGTTTTTTTTGTTTTTTTGTTTTTTTGTTTTTTATTTCTAGGCGAGAGAAAGAGACAGCGTGAGCAGGGGAGGATCAGAGAGAGAGGGAGTCACAGACTGAAACAGGCTCCAGGCTCTAAGCTGGCAGTCAGCACAGAGCCCGACACGGGGCTCGAACCCACGAACCGTGAGATCATGACCTAAGCGAAAGTCGGACGCTTAACCGACTAAGCCACCCAGGCACCCCTACACTGTGAATATGTTTAATGTTACTAAACTGTACAGTTAAAAATGGTTAAGATGGTAAACTTTATCGGGGCACCTGGCTGGCTCCGTGTAACTGTTGACCTTGGGGTTATGAGTATACATGCTGGGTGTAGAGATTACGTAAAACTTAAAACAAAAAAATTTTAAAGATGGTAAACTTTGTTACATGTTTTTTATCACAATTTTAAAACTTATGCTCAGTGAAAGAAACAAGACACAAAAGATGACATATTGTATGATTTCATCTATATGAAATGTCCAGAATAGGCTAATCTACAGAGACATGTAGAGATCAATGACGTTGTCTAGGGCTGTCAGAGGCAGATGGGGAGTGACTGCTAACAAGCACAAGGTTTCTTTTTGGGGTGATTGAAATGTCCTAAAAATAGACTGTGATGATTTTTACACAAGTCTATAAAATATACTAACTACCATTGCATTATACAACTAACACAGGTGAGTTTTATGGTATGTAAATTATATTTCAATTAAGCTACTTTTATAAATAAAGATGGGGGCACGCAGGTGGCTCAATCAGTTAAGCGTCTGGCTTCAGCTCAGGTCATGATCTCACGGCTCATAAGTTAGAGCCCTACGTTGGGCTCTGTGCTGACAGCTCAGAGCCTGGAGCCTGCTTTGGATTCTGTGTCTCCCTCTCTCTCTGCCCCTGTCTGTTCTGTCTTTCTCTTTCTCTCTCAAAAACAAACACTAAAAAAAATTTTTTTTACAAATAGTTTATTGTCAAATTAGTTTCCACATAACATTCAGTGCTCATCCCCACAAGTGCCCTCCTCCATGCCCATCCCCCCCCCCCCCCCACATCCATCAGTCCTCAGTTTTTGTCAGCATTCAAGAGTCTCTCATGGTTTGCCTCTCTCCCTTTCCCCCCACCATTTTCCCCCTTCTTCTCCCCCTTGTTCCTCCGTCAAGTTCCTCCTAATCCTCCTATACGTGCAAACATATGATATTTGTCCTTCCAAACACTAAAATTTTTAAATAAATAAGTAAATATAGGAACTGACTAACCTTTAAATTAAAAGAAGAATCCATGAGTCCAATACTAGTACAAATAAACAAAACGAATAAATAAATACACGGGAAGAAAGGGAAAGCTCTTCCTTACCATAAGATCCCAGCTATACATGTAAACGAAAATCATCCTGAGACATCACCTTAATCAAATGATCAAGCTAACACCAACAATTTTGCAATTAACCAATACTTTGAGCTTCCATGTATACTGAGAAGAACAGAGTCACTTCTGTGGAATTTCTTTCAAAAATGCATAATTCTTGGGGCACCTGGGTGGCTCAGTCAGTTAAGCGTCCGACTTTCGGTTCAGGTCATGATCTCACAGCTCCTGAGCTAGAGCCCCACATCCAGCTCTCAGCTCTCAATGCAGAGGCTGATTCAGATCCTCTGTCTCCCTAGCTCTCTGCCCCTCCCCAGCGTGTGCGCATGCGAGCGCCCTCTCTCTCTCTCAAAAATTAACATTAAGAAAAAAGATACATTTTTAAAAAATGCATAGTCCAAATCAAATCCTGAGGAAACATCAGATAAACCCAAATTGAAGGACATTCTTTCAAAGAAATGCCCTGTGCTTTTCAAAAACATCAAGATCATGAAAGCTAAAAGACTAAAACATTGTTCCAGATTGAAAGAGATTAAAAAGACCTGATAACAGAAAGCATCTTGTGACCTAAGATTTCCTTTCACTTATAAAAGGACATGGGTGGGGGGACGCCTGGCTGTCTCAGTTGGTAGAGCACACAACTCTTGATCTTGGGGTCATGAGTTTGAGCCCCATGTTGGAGGGTAGATTGTAATTAAAATCTGTTTAAATCTAAAAAAAAAAAAAAGTCTTAAAAGGACATGGGTGAAATAGTTGAAGGGAATTAAGAGGTACAAATTTCTAGTCATAAAATAAGTAAGTCACAGGGATGAAAGTACAGCATAGGGAATGGAGTCAATAGTATCGTAATAACATTGCATGGTGACAGATGATAACACTTATAGAATAGTCAAACCATTGTATGTACACCTGAAATTAGCCATAACATTGTATGTCAACTCTACCAAGTTTTTTTTATAAAGTACTAGGATGGCTATAATCAAAAAGTCTAGGGGGCACCTGGGTGGCCCATAGGTTAAGTTCTGAGTTCGGCTCAGATCATCATCTCGCGGTTCATGAGTTCGAGCCCCGCTCAGAGCCTGGAGGCTGCTTCTGATTCTGTGTTCCCTCTCTGCTCCTCCCCCACTCATGCTTGCTCTCTCTCTCTCTCTCTCTCTCAAAAATAAATAAACATTAAGAAAAAATTTTAAAAAGTCAAATAACAATGAGTGTTGGTGAGGATGTGGATAAATTGGAACATTCATACTCTGCTGGTAGAAATGGAAGAAAATGTCCTTGTTCTTAGAAAATCCATATTGAACTATTCAGTTGAAAAGGTATCACGTCTGCAACTACTATCAAATAGTTTAGAAGAACTATAGATAGATATAGATGACAAAGATTAGAGACAGAGACAGAGTAAATATGTTGTTATTATTATGAGACTTGGCATTGCCATTAGATTGACTTGCCAATCTAGTAAGTGAAAAATGGGATCTCATTGTCCTAATTTGCATCTCTTTAATTATGGGGAGACATTTAAAGTGCCCCAGAAATCATAATCCAGAATGATCACAAAGGCTAATTAAAATATTTGAAAAATACACCCACCCTCTACTAAGCTCCAGTGATAAAAACACGAAACACCACATCTAGTAGACGTGAAATGGTATCTAATTGTTGTTTTAATTTTGCATTTCAATGACAACTAAAGAGATGTGGTTAACTTTTCATATATTACACATATTGGTCATTTCAGAGGTCTTCTGCTGTGAATGACCTGTGTCCACTGTCCATTTTCTAGTGTATTGTTTGCCTTGTTCTTATTGATTTGTAGATGTCCTTTATATGTCCTAGAGTCTAGATACCAGTTCTTTATCATACACATCAAAAGACTACATGGAAACAATTAAGTCTGTGAAGCTCAGGGTCACCCATAGTGAGGCTCTTCCAGTTTAAATGTTAGGTCTTGCAACTAAGGGAAATATTTCTGGCATATGCTGTGGGTCATTGTTGACTCTACGTGAGTATGTTTGAAAACTGAGGGAAAAATTAAAATGGTAATTCATAAAATGTAGCCTGTATTCTGCTGTTAAGGAAAGGAATTAGTAGTGTTTGTGCATCTGGACTATGTAATTATTCATCATATATATAAATATATATATTCTTACTGTGTTAAATATTTCTCACTTGTAATATATGAATATCAATTATATGAGTTAAAACTCTAACTTTATGTTAGCATTTTTTACTGTTTATTTTTTTAGAGAGAGCGAGAGAGCGAGCAGGGAACAGACAGACAGAGAGAGAGACAGATTCTGAAGCAGGCTCCAGGCTCTGAGCTGTCAGCACAGAGCCCCCTTCGTGGATCATGGATCCAACTCACAAACCCCAAGATCATGACCTGAGCTGGAAGTCGGATGCTAACCTAACCGACGAAGCCACCCAGGCACCTCTGTGTTCTTTTTAAAGAGACCAGGCATAAATTTTTCTTCAACTGCCATTGTTACTTCCAAGCAAAGAAGTGGTAATCCCAGTCTTTTGTTTAACAGAAAGGGACACTGAAGCCCAGTGAGTGGGCATGTCTAACTCAGCTTCATACTGGCAGGTATTAATCTGATTAGAAACTGTATTCCTTAGCGCCTCAGGTCATGGTGGGATGCAACTTGACCTGGGCTTTCTTCTTCCTTCCAACTCATGCTAAACATGCAGTATGTACCCAATAAATGCCACTTTGTAAAGCCCTTCATCAGCCTAAGGCCAGAGGGGAATGTCCAGGCACTGGAGGGTAAGGGCGGTAGACAGCAGGTGCTGCATAAATCCTCAGTGTTGGTGCAGATGCAACCCAATGCAAATCATTGTTGGGGGCACTCTAAGGGCTTTTTAAACATGCTCCCGATGGATGCTCTGTACTTGCCTCCTAGTTCACAGAGAACACTAACTGGTTGCTGGGGTCAGGGTCACCCTCAAGGCAGGAGTGAGCCCAGTGGGGAATTAAGCACGCAAATCAATTCCCAAAGACAAGCTAAGTGCTGACGAGGAATCCCAGGGGGGAGCACGGGCGCCTAATTCGTGCCCCTAGGTGACACAGTAATTATAAACGTTTCTGGCCCGTCCCTGGGGGTGGTTGGAGATTCTTTTAGTTCCCTCACCGGAGGGGGAAGGGGAGATCTCGATTTATTTTCCCATCTGTGAAACGGAGGGACAAAAGGGGCCAGCTGACTTGCGCGGGTGGGCAGTTTGGCCGGCTCGCAGGGGCAGACTTTCCTTCTCCCTCCCCCGTCTTTCCCATCTCAGCTTCCAAGGATTAGGAATTTGACGACTTGAAAGTTTGTTCTCGGATCGCCAGAAGACTTCCCGACGCGAACCTTCAAGGGGCTGGAACAGCACCAAGAGGCCGGAACAGCACCAAGAGGCCGGAAAGGTACGGGCGCTAACGTTCCGCGCGCCGACGTCCTCCCGCTACCGGCTCCTCTCAACCTCCCGCTCCTCCTTCCCTCGATCCTCCGGCTCCCCTCCTCCTCAGTCCCCGCCCCTCTCCTGCCCTCTCATTGGCCGAGCTGGCCGGCCAGACCTCCCCGGGATTTAAAGGGCCCGCTCTCCGCGCCGCCCAGGGAGCCGCAGCTGGTCCCGGCCTTGCGGCCTGCGGGGGAGGCTGCCCGGAGGAGGCGGCGACGGTGGCGGCGGCGGTGCGTCCCTGACCCCCAGGACCGCGGCTTCCTTCCTGCCAGGTAAGTCGCCAGCAGGGCGGGTGCGACTGCCCGGCTCCCATCCTGAGCCGGCCTCCCCGCGCGGGTCTGCAGCGCGTGTCCTGGGGCCCCCTCTCCATCACCTTTCCCACTCCTCCAATTGCTACATCCCACTACCAACTCCACCTCCCTGCAGCCCCCGGGCCTGGGCAGAGCTTTGTTGGTGGCTGCAAGAGGTCAGGCGGGGGTGAGATGGGGCACGAGGGGGACACAGGACACCCCCCACATCCGTACAAGAAGAGATGCACACGGCTCCCAAGTGTCACAGGATCTTCCTCTCTGCCCTCCACACAGAATGACTCTACTTTGGAAATCAGGGAGCTCCTCCACCCCCCGCATTTGCTCTGTAGGCCTAGAATGTACACCATTTAATTACCATCGGACCCGGACTGTTAACAGCATTCCAGAAACACATTCACCACAGGTCATGGGTTGTGTGTGTGCACCCAGGATACCCAACACACACACACACACACACACACACACACAGTTGATGGCTCAGGCTGATGTACCTGACATTCACACCATTCCCCAGCCCCCAGGTACCATGTCTCTACTTGGAGGGCCCCAAACTGAAATCTGAATGTTCGAGTCCATCCCTTGAACATGGTCTGCCCCATGGACATCCTGGCTCCTTCTATGTCCCCACTTTGACAGGTCTATCCATCTGTCCATCCATCCGTGGGGGGTCGGCAATGGCCACCTTCAGCCGCCAGGAATTTTTCCAGCAGCTGCTGCAGGGCTGTCTCCTGCCCACTGCCCAGCAGGGCCTTGACCAGATCTGGCTGCTCCTTGCCATCTGCCTCGCCTGCCGCCTCCTCTGGAGGCTTGGTAAGTGCTTGCCACGCCATGTGCCACCATGCCAGGCCATATCCCACATACCACATTCATCTATACCAAGCCACATGTTATCCTGCTACATCTTGCCATGCCAAGCCACACTCCAACATGTCTCTCCCATCGCATCCCACCAGCGAAGTGCCATTCCACCACACCACGTCCTTAATGCTCAACCACACCATGCCACACCATGCCAAGCCACATCCTGCCGTGGCAAACCAGGTCTTTCAGTACGCCTGGGTTCTGGGATTCTGGAAGGCTAAGGTTCTTGGATCTTGGGATCCTGAAATGTCTACGTCCCAAGGTTATAAGATTCTGGAATGCTGATGTCACAGAGTTACTGAATCCCAAAGTATCATGTTGTAGGGTTTGGTCATTCTGACAAATTGAAATTCTCACATTTCAAGGCATCCAAAATGCTGGCATTCTGGATTTCTAAAATCAGGGCATGATGAGATTTCTGGATTGTAGGATTCTGGAATGTTTCCACAATCGTGGCAAGCCTATATCCAAATGATAAGGTTCCAAGTTCCCAAAGTTCCTCTAGGATGTTGAGAATTTTAGAAATCAGAGATTCAGAGGTTCTATACTTTCTTTTCTTTTCTTTTCTTTTTTAAGTTAGTTAGTTTGTTTGTTTTTGTAATCACTACACCCAACATAGGGCTCGAACTCATGACCCCGAGATCAAGAGTTGCATGCTCTACTGGCCAAGCCAGCCAGGCACCCCTACCCTGCTTTTTTCTTTCATTTAAAAATGTTTTGGGGCGCCTGGGTGGCTTAGTCGGTTAAGCGTCTAACTTTCGCTTAGGTCATGATCTCACGGTTCGTGGGTTCGGGCCCCACATCGGGCTCTGTGCTGACTGCCAGCTCAGAGCCTGGAGCCTGTTTCAGTCTGTGACTCCCTCTCTCTCTGACCCTCCCCTGCTCACGCTCTCTCTCTCTCTCCTAGAAATAAAAAAAAAAATTAAAAATGTTTTAATGTTATTTATTTTTGAGAGACAGAGTGCAAGTGGGTGAGGGGCAGAGAGAAAAAGAGACACAGAACTTGAAGCAGGCTTCAGGCTCTGAACCATCAGCACAGAGCCCAATGTGGGGCTCAAACCCACAAGCTGTGAGATCATGCCCTGAGCTGGTCAGATGCTTAACTGACTGAGCCACCCAGGCATCCCTTCTTTTTTCTCTTATATTAAATGGATGTTTTGGTTTTTTTCCCAGGTTCATCATTTTGAAATATTTCAAAGTTACCAAAAAATTAAGGTGAAAGAATGTCATGGGCACCCATATATGCATTTCCAGATTCTCTGTCAACATCTTGACACATTAGCTCTATCTGCTTATCTGTTTACCTACCCATCATCTTCCTGAATCATATGAAGAACGTGCTGACACTACAGCCAAACCCTTCATTGTGTGCACCCCGAACACATCTTCCCCCAACAAACACACCCTCACCCATCAACTCAAGAAATTTAAGCTGGATGCAGTAATAGTATCCAACATAAATTGATATTCAAATTTTTACAGGGTTCCCAAAATGCCCTTTATAGATGTTTATTTTCTTTATCTTTTTAAACATTTACAAAAATTTAATGTTTATTTTATTTTTGAAAGGGAGGGTGCGGGGAGAGCAAGCGGAGGAGGGACATAGAGAGAAAGGGAGACACAGAATCAGAAGCAGACTCCAGGCTCTGAGCTGTCAGCACAGAGCCTGACATGGGGCTGGAACTCATGAACTGCAAGATCATGACCTGAGCCGAAATCAGTGCTTAACTGACTGAGCCACCCAGGCGACCTTCAACGCTTTTTAAGAGAGAGAGAGCATACATGTGAGCTGGGGAAGGGCAGAGGGAGAGGGAGAGAGAATCTTAAGCAGGCTCCACACCTAGGGTGGAGCATGACGCGGGGCTCGATCTCACGAACTGCGAGATCATGACCTGAGCTGAAATCAAGAGTCAGACGCTTAACCAATTGAGCCACCAAGGCGCCCCTGTTTCTTTTCTTTAAGCCCAGGCCCTGCCACCTATCCAGCTCCCCAACATCTGCTCCGGGCCTCCTGCAATCTCACCACATTCCAACCTCTAGGCCTTTGTTTGTGCTGTGCCCTCTGCCTGCGTTGCCCTCCCTTCCTACCAGCCCATTCAACTTCCTTTTTTTTTTTTAACTTTATTTCTTTCTTTTTTTTTTTTTAAATGTTTTATTTATTTATTTCGAGGAGAGAGAGAGAGAGAGAGACAGCATGAGCAGGGGAGGGTCAGAGAGAGAGGGAGTGACAGACTCAGAAACAGGCTCCAGGCTCTGAGCTGGCAGTCAGCACAGAGCCCGACGCGGGGCTCGAACCCACGAACCGCGAGATCATGACCTGAGCGAAAGTCGGACGCCCAACCGACTAAGCCACCCGGGCGCCCCATAACTTTATTTATTTCTTATGAGACAGAGGGAGAGAAAGAGAGACAGCATGAGCAGGGGAGGGGCAGAGAGAGAGAGGGAGAGAAATCCCAAGCAGGCTCCACGCTATCAGTGGGGCTCCAACTCATGAAGTGTAAGATCATGACCTGAGCCGAAACCAAGAGTCGGGGGATGCTTAATCGACTGAGCCACCCAGGCGCCTTCCCCAACTTCCCTTTCTTGTTCTCTCTCTCTCTCTCTCTCTCTCTCTCTCTCTCTCTCTCATGTGAAGGGTTGCCATCCTACCTGAAGCATGCAAGCACCGTGGCAGGTGGCTTCTTCAGCCTCTACCACTTCTTCCAGCTGCACATGGTTTGGGTCGTGCTGCTCAGCCTCCTGTGCTACCTCGTGCTGTTCCTGTGCCGACATTCCTCCCATCGCGGCGTCTTCCTCTCCGTCACCATCCTCATCTACCTACTCATGGGGTATGGCTGCGAGTCCCCATCCCCACACCGTTGGCGAAAGGGCCAGTGAGGGGCCCCCCAGGTCACGCCACGTGAGGCTGGTCAGGACGGGGAGGGCATAGGGTATTCCTGGATGGGGGAGGGGCAGTCTGGGAGACGCGTGCTTTCTAAAGGCTGTACAGGACAGACTGGGCTTGGGCTCTCTCCCTGGAGGAGGGCGTCCTGGAGAACTATTCCTCCAGGAGGTGGTGCGGGACTGGGGAAGATAGAACCCTCCTCTCGCACGTCAGTTTCCCCCCTTTGTGGTCTCTGAGACCATGGGAGTCATGGAGCCAAGACCACCTTTTTTCCTCAGTGAGATGCACATGGTGGACACCGTGACCTGGCATAAGATGCGAGGTAGGCAGCCCTGGCCCTCTCACCTGCCCCAGCCCCCCGGCTCCACTCCACATCTCCTAATTCCCCAACCCTGTCTTTCCTTCCCCGCTTTTCTCCCTCATCCGCCCACCCCAGCGGACACGCAGGCCTCAGATGCCCCTCCCATCTGTGTCTCTCTCTCTCTCTACCATGCCTTCCCCCTCCCGTCTGTCTGTCCTATCTCATGTCCATGCCTGACACTTGAGGAACGGTGTCTGCTGGTTCTGGGCCCACCTGCTCACCTGCCCGTCTGACACTGTGCCCACCTGTCCACACTCGCCCTCCTCTTTTTCTACCACTTCTCACCCGGTGCCCCCCATCCCCCCATGCGGACCTGCTCTCTGCCTGCCCACTTGACCACGGGCGCGACACATAGGGGCCCAGATGATCGTGGCCATGAAGGCGGTGTCTCTGGGCTTCGACCTGGACCGGGGCGAGGTGGGTGCAGTGCCCTCGCCCGTGGAGTTCATGGGCTACCTCTACTTCGTGGGCACCATCGTCTTTGGGCCCTGGATATCCTTCCACAGCTACCTACAGGCTGTCCAAGGCCGCCCGCTGGTGAGGTCCTGGGTGGACAGGTGGGCAGGGACTGTGGGAGTCACCGCGGGGCAGTGTTCATGGAGCCTTGATCCCCACAGAGCCGCCGATGGCTGCAGAAAGTGGCCCGGAGCCTGGCGCTGGCCCTGCTGTGCCTTGTGCTGTCCACGTGTGTGGGCCCCTACCTCTTCCCATACTTCATCCCCCTTGATGGTGACCGCCTCTTTCGCAAGTGAGCACAGCCTTCGAGGCCTCTGCCCCACAGTGAGGGGGTTGGGTAGGGACTTGGGGTCTCCCCAGCTCCGAGCCTGTCTCTTAATGCTTCTATCTGTCTTCTGTTACTACAGCAAGAAACGCAAAGCCAGGTAAATGAGGGCAGGTGCTGAGGGCGAACGGGACTGACTGGGGGGGCGGGGGGGCACAGTCTATGACCGGTTTGTTCTGTAAGTCTGCGACACTCTGACCATCTATCCCATGACTAGACAGAGACCGAATGCCTGTGGCTCTTGTGTGACCAAGATCGGCTCTGTGACTCTGTACGGCTGACGTTGCACCACCTAACTGGGTCTGGCTATCCATCCGTCCCACTGTTAGGAACAAGTTATGTGACCACAATGGGGAGTGACAAGTATGTGCTGGTGGGTGACGCTGACCAGTCTGTGACTCTAGCTAGGGGTGTATACAGGTTGTTTGCCAATCAGCCACTCACTCGCTGTGGGGGACTGGTGTTCTGGCTGTCTAGCTGTGCCGTTGTCAGTGATGGGCTGTGTGCCTGTCATTGGAAAAGATAAATCTGGGTTCACTGTAACTCTGACTGGGGGTGGGTCTGACTGTAGCATGCCATGTGCCTGTCTGTGATGGATGCCTCCGGTGAGCCTGCCTTCTCTGGCTGCCTGGTGTCGTCTAGCTGAGGGATCATGACTGACCGTGTGCCTGTCACTGTCTGTGGGACCATCCATCTACCTCTGGCGTGACTGTAGGATGTCATCCAGCTGTTTGATTGTATGACCCCGTCCCCCACTCACTCACTGCTGATGGTGTCTGATGCTGAATGAGGCTCCCGAAGGTGGAGTGCCTCACCCAGTGTCACCTAGCTAAGCCGCCAGGCATCATCCGCAGGCCTGATTCCAGAACCTACGCTTTTTCCAGGATGCTGCTTCTCACCATGTGACTGTGCAATGGGTGGGATGCCTATCCTTGAGTGTAGTATCGTGCACACGTGTATAGCAGGGTGCTTGCTGGTGTCTGTGCCTAAATAAAGGACACAGTGTATGTATTTTGTATCTTATGGTCACTGAGTCAGACTAGGGAGCTTTGAGTCTGGGAACCTGATGGTATTTGTGTGTGTCCGTGTGTAGCATGGTGAGGTCAAGCCTCTGACAGCGGCTGGGTCTAGATGTCTGGCCTTGTGAGGCCGTAGGGCCATGTCCTATTATAGGACAGCTCATACATCTGTTTGAGGCACATGAAATGAACTGACGGTGTGTATATGCGTGTGGCTGTCACAGTGCCCCTCTTCTGCCACCATGTTTCTGTCTCGTCTTGTCTACAAACAACTCAGGCCAGCCTCCAGGGCCTCTCTGACTCTCTTTCCTTTCTTCTCTGCTGCCTTCCTGACCCCTGGGGTCCCTAGGGGCACCATGGTAAGGTGAGTCTACAGAGTGGGGCTGGGGATGCTGACACATGGTGGGGTATCATGCCGGGGCCTAGGAATGATCCCTGTCTCCCCCAACCCTTTCTCCCCAGGTGGCTGCGAGCCTACGAGAGTGCTGTCTCCTTCCACTTCAGCAACTATTTTGTGGGCTTTCTGTCCGAGGCCACGGCCACGTTGGCAGGGGCCGGCTTCACCGAGGAGAAGGATCACCTGGAATGGTGGGGAGGGCTGGGGGGGGGGCCCTCTCCCATGGGGTGCTGCCTAGAGGAGCCACGGGGAGGGGGAGGGTGCTCCCGGGGGCGGGGCTAGGCAAGACAAAGGTGTGGAGGTCAGCTGGGGTGAGACCCCAAACGAATTTGCATGTCTCTTTTGCCTACAGGGACCTGACAGTGTCCAAGCCACTGAACGTGGAGCTGCCCCGGTCCATGGTGGAAGTTGTTACAAGCTGGAACTTGCCCATGTCTTATTGGCTAAATAACTGTGAGTCACCGAGTCACCACTCCCAAGAATTGAGAGTCCTCAACCCAGGCTCGTTCCCACATTCATATAACAAACGTTTACTGAGAACTATCGTGTGCTAGGCACTGAAGATACTGCAGGGACTAGGGGAGAAAACCCCCAAATCCCTGCCCCTGTGGCCGTGGCATTTTTGTGGGTAGAGCAGATACTAAGAGAAAAAATTATATAATATTTCAAGTGGTGACAAGTGCTATGGTTAAAAAAAATGCAGGTAAAGATTATCTGGGAGTATTGGAACAAGTGTGGGGGGGTACAATTTTAAATAAATTATCCAAAGCAAGCCCCCCTGAGGAGGTGACATTTGAGCGAAGACCTGAGCAAGGTGAGAGAGCAAGCAAAGCAAATGTGTGAGGGAGGAGTGTAACGGATGGAGGGAACAGCCAGTGCAAAGGCCCTGAGGTAGGAGCATGTTTGAGGAACAGGGAGGAAACCATTGCAGCAGGAGCAGAGTGAGCGAGGGGACCAGTGGCAGGAGATGTGGTCAGAGAGGTGACAGGGCCCTGGTCCCGTAGTGCTTCACTGGCCACGGGAAGGATTTTGGCTTTTTCTTTGAGAAGTGGAGCCACAACAGGGGTCTGAGCCGAGGACGGTTGAGGGCTGACTTGGGTCGTAACAGGACCCTCTGGCTGCTGGGAGAGCAGATGGGAAGGGGACAAGGTTGGAAGCAGGGAAGAGGCCGCAGCAGTAGTGCAAGTGAGCAATGGCAGCGGTGGCAGTGGCCACGGAGAAGAGAGGTCAGATTCTGGAAAATTTCTGAAGATAGATCTGATAGGATTTGCTGAGAGTTTAGTTGTGGGAGTAGGGGAGGGCAAAGCAAGGGTGATCCTGGGCTTTTGCCCTGAGGAACTGGAAAAGTAGAGTTGACATTGGCTGAACTTGGGGATGCCATGGGAGGAGCAGGTTGGGAGGGAAGATCAGGAGCTAAGTTTGAGGCCATTATAAAGATTTTATCCTGGGAGCTCCAACAGGTCGTGGGTTCCTCACCTTGCCCTATGGCCCCCCGCCCCCCAGGAAGGGTAGAGGGGATCCTGGGAGCCTCTTGACCCGCATCTCCCCCTTCCAGATGTTTTCAAGAATGCTCTCCGCCTCGGGACATTCTCAGCCGTGCTGGTCACCTATGCAGCCAGTGCCCTCCTGCATGTGAGCAAGGCAGAGCGGGATGTGGGGTGGGGAGGTGCTGGGCAGGGTTGGCAGCGCCTCCTCCTCACTCACCTCATTGCCCCCGGGGCCCCCTAGGGTTTCAGCTTCCATTTGGCTGCGGTGCTGCTGTCCCTGGCGTTTATCACTTACGTGGAACACGGTGAGTGCAGAGCCCAGCCAGCAGATGGGATGGAAGGTGGGGGCTAGAACCACTGTCCCCTGAGGCTAACCTGACCCCCTTACCTCCTGGCACCTGCCCCAGTCCTCCGGAAGCGCCTGGCTCGGATCCTCAGTGCCTGCGTCTTGTCGAAACGGTGTCCACCAAACTGTTCGCACCAGCGTCGCTCGGTGAGGGTTCAGCCCCGACAACCTCATGCCCAACACTCCCCGTCAAAACCATTACTTCTGTCTCCATCTTCTGTCTGTCTCAGGGTGCCCAGCTTCCTCTCCTGGCGCCTGAGCAATCCCAGAACCTCACTTCTATTTCACCAGCATCCATTTCTCTAACAAACATTTATCAAGCACCTGCTGTATACACACCTGGCATTTGTCCCCCCAGTGAACATTTACTGAGTACCTGCTGGTATCAGGCACTATTCTAGGCACTGGAGACACAGTGGTGAACAAAACAGACTAAAGTCCCAGCCCTATGGGACAAACATTTTAACAGATGAGACAGTAAATTTCTAAAAAGTCAGTAAAGAACAATAGTTTCTTAGATTGTGATTAATGCCAAGGAGAAATTACATAAGGGAAAGGGGAGGGGAAATATCGGGGCTGGTGAGTGGTTTTAATTTTATTTATTTTTTAAATTTTTTTTAATGTTTTATTTATTTCTAGGAGAGAGAGAGAGACAGCATGAGCAGGGGAGGGTCAGAGAGAGAGGGAGTCACAGATTGAAACAGGCTCCAGGCTCTGAGCCGGCAGTCAGCACAGAGCCCGACGCGGGGCTCGAACCCACGAACCGCGAGATCATGACCTAAGCGAAAGTCGGACGCCTAACCGACTAAGCCACCCAGGCGCCCCAGTGGTTTTAATTTTAAATAGGGAGGTAACTTTTGAGTTCTTTAACTGAATGAGATGAGGAAGAGAAGCATTCCAGGCAAAGAGAACGACCTGTGTAAAGGCTCTGAGATGGGAGAGAGCCTGGAATATTTGAGGAACAATAAGGCAGCTAGCGTGGCTTGAGCAGAGTGAGCGAGGTGGGGAGAGCGGTGAACCTTATAGGTCAAGGTGGGGATTTGTTTTTGTGTTTTCATTTGTTTGCAGTGAGGAATATAGACAACCTCAGATTTGTGTCCCACCCAGCAACCAACGTTTATCGCCATAAACCCCCCCAACTCAAGCCCCTCCATTCTTCCTCCTCTGCCTGAACATCTCCCCCTGGATGCCCTCAGGCTAACAGTACCCTCATCCTTGGGTTCCTCTTGAGCTCCCGTAGGAAGATCTGAACCATCTTTTTCCTACCCCAGGGCATGCCCTGGGCCCTAGACATCCTCATTCCTGGGACACACTGTGCCTTGTGCATCTCGGGGTTCCCCTGCCCAGGTGGGGCCGGGGGACGGTGAATAGATCCAGCTGCCAAGCATATCCGTCTGTCCCCCACAGGGCCTGGGGGTGCGAGCCTTAAACCTGCTCTTTGGGGCCCTGGCCATCTTCCATCTGGCCTACCTGGGCTCCCTGTTTGATGTCGATGTGGATGACACCACAGAGGAGCAGGTGAGGTGGGGCCCTGGGCTGGAGGTGACTTAGGGTTGTGCTACCTGCTCGTTACAACCACGAGGACAAAGGTGAAGAGGCCGAGGCTTGAGGACCTTGTGTCGGTGTCTCTAGCCTGTGAAGCTTGCGCTCCTCGGTCGCTCTTTCCCATTGTCCTTCTGGTTGATTCGTACCGTTGGGGCTCTTATTAGGGTCAAGTGTGCAAACTATGTTTATTTTACTTCGCAGAGATGGCGTGCAAAATCCGGGCTTTACTTTTCAAAGAGTTCATTCTTCCATCATATTTTTGTTTAGGGAGAATTCGCAAGGTTTCTTTCTTATTTAATTAAAAAGTATTTTTACTCAGGTTGAGTGTGCAAACTCTGGATTCTGTTTTAAGAGGGTACATTAAAATGTATATACCATTTTTATTCATGTGGAGTATGCGCATTCCAGATTTTACTCCTTTTTAAATGAAAAGCAATTTTAAAACGACCGTTTCTTCATATGGCTCTTGCAGGATCCGGGTGCTGCTTCTCTTTTAAATTTTTTATTTTTAATTGAAAATAAAACTTAATTTTATGCATTATTTTATTACTTTATTTTATGATTTCTCTTGTCATTAAAAACAAATTTTTTTAATATTTATTTATTCTTGAGAGAGCGCAAGTGGGAGGGGGTAGAGAGAAGGGCACAGAGGATCCAAAGTAGACTCTGCACTGACAGGCTGACAGCAGCAAGCCTGATGTGGGGCTCGAACTCATGAACCTCAAGATCATGATCTGAGCTGAAGTCAGACGCTCAACTGACTGAGCCACCCAGGCACCCCTAAAAACAATTTTTCATTTTTATTCAGGTTGGGTGCAAAATCTGGGCTTTGTTCTACTTTTACTTTTTCTGGTTTTATTTTTTAAAGTTCTTTTTTAAGTTTTTTAATTATTCAAGTAATCTCTACAACCCAGCATGGGGCTCCAACTCACAACCCCAAGATCAAGAATAGTGTGCTCTTCTGACTGGGCCAGCCAGGTGCCCCTCTTGTTTTATTGTTATTAAAACATTTAAAACTAGTTATTGCATATATCATAAGCTTCAAAAACCAAACAGTCTTCAAGGAAAATTCTTGCTCCTACTGTCTAACCCCTGCTCTCTTACAAGTAACTACTTTTAGTCGTCTTACTAAAATGTAAGCACAAGTAAATATAAAAATATATTTTAATTCCCTTTCCCACCCCAATTTTTACCCTAAAGTAACTCATGAATAATATTGTTCTGCGTGTCGCTTTTTTCATATAATTCTTGAAAATCTTCCACATAAGTGTATGGAATGCCCTCGTTCATTTGTTTTCCATTGTGAGGATATGACACAGTGTAATTTGTCCCTGATCAGTGAACACCCAGGTGATTTCCAGCCCTTTTCCTATTGCAAATGGTGCCGCACCAAGTAATCCCCTCATACCCATGTGGATTCACAAAGGTACAGACAGAACCACAGGATCTATCCTTCATAGTTACAATGGCGAAGTCACCTTTTTGCCCTCCCACCAGCATTGTGTGACCATACCTGTCACCCTGCAAACAGAGTGCCTCTCAGACTTCCTGCATATGTTTGCCAGTTTGAGGGGAGGAAGGTTATGAGTATCTTTTCATTTGTTTAAGAGCCATTGCTTTTTTTTTCCTTAGTGAGAATGACATACTCACCTCCTTTGCCTTTTTTTTTTTTTCTTTTTGAAAAATGGATTTCTGGGAGCTCCTTCTATATTAAGGAGAGTATGGGTCAGAGAGTGGGACTGCCTTGTCTTGTTCTTAAAATAATTTTTAAAGAAGAAGAAAACATAAAAGAAAAAAAAACCCTCTTTCCTATGTATCCAGTCTCTTCTCTGGGGCCTCACCTAGGGTTACCATGGAGTCACAGAAATGTCCTTGAGCAAAGGATGGGTTTTCCTGAGACATTTTTTTGTTCTTGCCGAGTGGCATTGTTACCTCTTTCTCTCCCACAGGGCTACGGCATGGCATACACTGTCCACAAGTGGTCAGAGCTCAGCTGGGCCAGTCACTGGGTCACTTTTGGATGTTGGATCTTCTACCGTCTCATAGGCTGAGGCACATCTGTGGATCCTGAAAGCTCCCTCAAGACCCCTCCTCAGGGTGCCAGCTCTGATGGGGGATGAGGGAAGGCCCTAATCTCTAATTCTTGATCCCTCTCCATCCTTAACCACCCCCCCAACACTCCTAACACACAGACACATACACACACAGACACACATGCACACGCACACACACAATTTCCATGCCTGTCGATCCCCACCCCACCACAAGGCGGGAAGGGGGTGGTCCCTACTGGGGCCTAGGGGTGGATGATGCTTGGGGAATCAGAGAGGGGGGAGATCCAGGGCCTCCCCGCCTTCCTTCGCCCTTTTTATATACAGTTTGTTATTGTCAAATAAAAGTAGGAAAGATACAAAAGGCTCTTTCTTCACTGATCAGTGGGGAATAGAGGTGAGTGAGGAATGGGCACAGCATAAAGGTTTGGAGGCTGGAAATCATGAAGAGGGGGCACGTTGTGATTGGTTCGTGGTTAATTTATTATTGTTCATGATTGGATGATGAGCCTGAGGACCGCACAGCTTGATTTGAGTGGGGCCAGGACAGATTGGATAGTTGGATGTGGGGAAGTCCTGATACTTAACTGGCTGGAAAACTGAGGGATCCCCATTCTGATTGGTTGCTCTGACACGGACAGAGGGGGAAAGCAAGACAGATGAAGAGTTCCTGCCTATTGGTCCTTAGGACCAAAGCTTGTGGGTTGTAATTGGAAAGGAAGGTCTGGGTTCTGATTGATTGCGCGGTTTAGGGTGCCTGCTGGCTTAGAGTTAGGAAGTTCGGATTGGCTCTTTACAGTTGGCACAGGGAGATTGAGGGTCTCCATGGCAAATGGTCAGCAAGGCTGTGGAGCCTGGGTTTTCACTGCTTCTTCTGACTTGAAGTCGGGAGAGGTAAGGAAGACCGCTTGAGGACTTCTGAGCGTCGAGGGAGAGGGCAGAGGCGCAGTGTACAAATGTGATCTGCCTGTCAATAATATTAAGTGCCCTTGCCGCTTCGGGAGTGAGGATTGAAGATTAGTCCGGGAACCGGTTGCTCTGCCTAAAAAAAAAGAGGGCAAAGGTAAGAGAGCACAAAGCAATGATGACTCAACAGTAGATGAGGAAGATAAACACCGGGTTTCTGATATGGTTGATAATGGGATAGGGAAATCAAGCCAAGACTCACTGCAGACAGGCTTCAACCCGAAAACGCCCACCATCCTAGCCGTCATCCAACTCCTGACTCGGTCTCAACCAACAGCGAAAATGGCACCACGCAGGGGGGCGGGGCCGGCGGCACACAGAGAGGTCCTATTGGTTAGGAGCGGCACTGGCCGCCTTCCCAGCCCCTCCATTGGTTAACTCCGTAAGGCGAGGACCTGTGAAAGGATGAGTCTGAGCCAGGGTCTTTACGCCACCAGCGAGCTAGCCTGGAGCCTCTGAGGGCGACCGCTGTGACCGCGCCACTGGGTGAGTGTCCCCAGACCACTCCATCCCCTAAGCTCTCAACTGCTAAACAGCTGGTCATCAGCGCCTGCGAGAGACCCTCCCCCTTGCCCACACTCCCACCGCCCACCAAACGCGCCTGCGCCAAACCCTTTGCTACCGCGCGGTTGTCTGGACGACAGATCTGCTTTCTCATTGGGCAGCTGGCCTACAGACTTCTAGCTCTAATTGGTGGTCTCTGTATTTGACCCTTTTTTTTTTTTCGTGTTTAGCGCCGCGGTCAAGACCCCTTCCTTGCGCTTTCCTCTTTCTTGCAGGTTGGTACTCTTATGCGCGATTTCAGGAAGGGTCTGCCTTTCCATGCACAGAATCTGAGGGTTGTAGTTCTGATTAGTTTTCTCTCTTCTGTCCAGCAGTCTCCAGGACTACGGGGAGGGAATAGTTTTCTGTTGAAAGATGCTAGACCCTGACCCCTGCAGTGGGACCCAACCTGGTCGCTGGGTCTCCCTGAGGGCGAGGACCACGCCTGGCCCCTGTATCTCCCTTATCAAAACATGAGCTGGGACTTAATCTGGTTCTTGTGTCCGCCCACCAGACTGTGACCAATGAGGGCAGGGACCAGGCCTGGTTTCTATATCTTCTCTAGCTGACTGTGACCCCCGAGGGGTAGAATCTGGCCTGGTTCCTGTATCTCACTTCTTATGGCTTCTGGAGGGCATATAATTAGATTATTTTTAATCCAGTATTACAGTCTATTGACTGATAATTTTAGTCCATTTACATTTCTGGTGATAATAAACTATTTGGATTTGATTTTATGATCTCATGCTGTGCTTTGTGTTTGTTCAAGTTTTTGCCCTTTTTTCTCCTTTCTCCTTACATAGACATCAACCTACAAAGACATGACCACCAATGCCAGCCCTTTACACCCATACTGGCCTCGGCACCTGAGGCTGGACAACTTTGTGCCTAATGACTGCCCAACTTGGCATCTCCTGGCTGGCCTCTTCTCTGTCTCGGGAGTCTTGGTTGTGACCACGTGGCTGTTGTCAGGTCGTGCTTCTGTCGTCCCTTTGGGGACTTGGCGGCGACTGTCCCTGTGCTGGTTTGCAGTATGTGGGTTCATTCACCTGGTGATTGAAGGCTGGTTCAGCCTCTACCACGAAGATCTTCTTGAAGACCAAGCTTTCTTGTCCCAACTCTGTGAGTCCTGAGTTCTTTGATGTGTTGTGGGACAGAATTTTCTGGGCAGGGATTGGCTTAGATATTTATCCATTCACCAACTCTAACGTTAATTTATTTTAAAATTTCGTTTAACTTTTTTGTTGGGGATGTACTCACCTGGGTCAAAAAATCCATTTAAAGAGGTATGCAATGAAAATCTACCTTCTGTCCACCAAGTGTCCCCAATACGTTTTATCCAGGGTTTTTTTACACAAAAATTACACACATAAGCCTCAGTTTGCCATTTGCAAAAGAGGGACAACAGTAATATGCAAATATATGTAAGTTGCTTACAACAGTGTTGGCAGACAGGGGATGCCATAACTTTATCATCATCATCAGCTCTTTTTTTTTCCTAATGTGTAAACAAATGGTAATATACTATATACACCTCTGACCTTTGCTTTCTTTTTGTACATTTTTAAAATGCTTGTTTATTTTTGAGACAGAGAGAGAGAAATTCAGAAGGGGTGGTGCAGAGAAAGAGGGAGACACAGAAACTGAAACAGGCTCCAGGCTCTGAGCTGTCAGCACAGAGCCTGAAACTGGGCTTGAACTCACGGATTGCGAGATCATGACCTGAGCCAAAGTTGGATGCTTAACCAACTGAGCCACCCAGGCGCCCCTGAACTTTTTTTTTTTTTTTAGTTTAAAAAATATTTATTTATTTTTTGAGAGAGAGAGACAGCGTAAGTGGGGGAGGGGCGAGAGAGAGGAAAACAAGACTTCGAAGCAGGCTCCGGGCTCTGAGTGGTCAGCATAGAGCCTGACACAGGGTTCAAACCCACAAACTGTGAGATCATGACCTGAGCTGAAGTTGGATGCTTAACCCACCGAGCCACCGAGGCACTCCTGAACTTTTCTTTTCTTAAATGGGATTACTCCTCATCAGTTCATGAAGAGCTTTTAAAGCATAGATGTTACAGAATTATTTGACTTGTCCAAGTCTTTTGCTGTTATAAATAATACTCCCTATTGGCCTCATGAATAAAACTGCTATTCTTCCATAACACTTTGATCTAGCATATACAAGTCTGTGTGGAGATCTGTTTTATTTCTCTTGTAAATATGGAGGAGAAGAATGGTAGATGTGTGTTTAACTTCATGTAAAATTGCCAAACTTTTTAAAAATGGCTGCACTATTTTATTTTCCATCAGCAGTATATGAGAGTTCTAGTCCCTCCACGTCCTTGCCAACACTTGATATGGTCAGATGTTTCCTCAATTTTAGTCCTAGTGGATGCAAGTGATATCTCATTACTTTTCCTTAATGACTAATCAGAGTTTGAGCACCTTTCATATGTTTATTGATCATTCAGGAATCCGCTTTTGTGAAGAAACTGTTCTTGTCTCTTGCCTATTTTTATATTGTGTGGTCTTTCTTTTTCTTACTAATCCTCCTCCCACTCTTTTATTCACTAATCTGTTCACCTCTGTGCTTGCATGCTCACTTGCTTGTGTGTTCATTCTCTCTCTCTCTTTCTCACTCACTCTCGCTCACTCATTGGCTACTTGACTCACTCCATCACCTACACTTAACTCCTTTCATTCCACATTTTATTGAATGCTAGACAGTCACAGCATTACTTACTGTTCTGTGTCAGGTGTGCAGAAATTATCGTTATACGTATGTCAACTCTAGAATCCAGAAAGCTACCCCGTTTCACAGATGAGGAAACTGAGGCATAGAGAGGTTATAAAGCCCAGCTTACATTGGCCCTCAGCTCTCACAAGTCTGATTTCCTTTCCTTGCCTTAATTCTTCATGTATGCCTCTTCTCTTCTTCAGGGAAAGAGTATGCCAAGGGAGACAGCCGATATATCCTGTAAGTGTTTGCCTCCATCAAGGGAGACCTGCGGTGGTTTGGGGTGGTGGTGAGTCAAGGAGCACTAATAGAATGCCCTGTGGGTAGAGCAGACCGATGCCAGTGTTCTCCGGTCCTTTCTCCCACAGGAGTGACAACTTCACGATATGCATGGAAACCATCACAGCCTGCCTCTGGGGACCACTCAGCCTATGGGTGGTGATCGCCTTTCTCCGCCAGCAGCCCCTCCGCTTTGTCTTACAGCTCGTGGTCTCTGTGGGTGAGGAGAGGGCCCACGCTGGGTGCTGGAGGGGTTGCTGGGGGATCTCCAGACACGGGGGCATCCCTGCAGGGAGGATCTCTCAATTGTGCCCATCCAGGGCTGAGTCAGACTGACATATTCCTGAGGTTCTCGAACAGCCAGGATGCTCTCGGTCTGTGTTCTTAAGTAGGGAGGGTTCATTTCCCACCCCAGAGTCTCCTGTGAAGGTTACATGAGGTGGCCCACCACGGTGGGAAGCCCCTGGATCCTCCCTTCATCTGACACACAGTACTCTTGTGTTCTTACATGGTTGGCTTTCTTTAGTTCTGGAATCCCGAACTGTCTTGAGTGAAAGGACTCTGAGCTTCCTTAAGTTCTGGCGAAATGCACTCTCCTGAGTTCAGAAATGCTCAGCTTCTGATTGCTGGAATTCTCACTTTTGTAATTCCTCAAATTTTCAGCTATCTGATTGCAGAATTCTTAGCTCTCTAGATTTGGGAATCCTGAGCTCTGAGACCTCGACTGATGACTTATGAAATGCCTCAGAATAGCTTTTCCTCTTCACTTGGTTTCCCTTTCCTCTTATGCCTCCCACAGGTCAGATCTACGGGGATGTGCTCTATTTCCTGACAGAGCACCGGGACGGATTCCAGCACGGGGAGCTGGGCCACCCACTCTACTTCTGGTTTTACTTTGTCTTCATGAACGCTCTGTGGCTGGTGCTGCCTGGAATCCTTGTGCTTGATTCTGTGAAGCAGCTCGCTCATGCCCAGAGCATGCTGGATGCCAAAGCCACAAAAGCCAAGAGCAAGCAGAACTAATGTAGGCCGAGCTCAGACACTGGCTGATGAGGAACACTCTACCAGTCAGAAGAGTCCAGTCCTTACTCCCACAGGTTGGAGGGACAAAGGGAATTGATCTGGCAAATTCCTGCTGATGGGTAAGCACCGGAAGGGCCAGAGGCAGGGGCAAGAAAGGAGGCATGTGGAGCTGCTGCCAGGAGGCACTGGGACAAAGGTACAGAAGAACCTAGGAGGTTCATGATGATGGCAGTTTTTAGAATCAGGAAATAAAAGATCTGGACTCTAACACGGAGAGATCTTTAATTATTAATCCCAGAGATGCCCTATGACTGACCCCACAAACCCCTCCATCACTCATTCATTTCACAGACAACCATTCTCTCAGCCATAGACCCCCATCATCATCACAGAGACCTCTAATTTATAACCTCCCAAACCCCCTATCACTGGCCCCCACAGAGTCCCATGATGGCTAATTAGATCCACAATTTACCCATTATCTCTTTGAAGAAGTAATCATCCACTCACACCCTTGGTATTCTCTCCAGAACACACTTTCTCATCCTTTGCAATATGGACAGGCTGAGAATTTTCCAAATCTTTGAGTTCTTCAGTCTATTCAGCCTCTTGTCTCTTGATCAGATACCCTACAGACACCCCATCAGTAACTCCACGGATCTTTCCTCAGTCACCTCAAACAGTCCCCATTACTCACTCCAAAGACTCCACCATCATTCACCCCACAGACTCACCTATTACTACCCTAAAGATCTCCATCACTCACCCCAGAGACCCCACAAAACTCACACAAGACCCATCACTCCACATGCCCCGTAACTTGCCCCAACAGACCTCCAGTCGTACACCCTACAACCCCATGAGTCACCCCATAGACGCCCTCCATCCTGTATCACACAGACCCTCTCACTTTTCCCAGAAATTCCCTACCATTTACCCCATAGGCGGTCATTACTTACCCTGCAAACCCCTATAACTTACCTCACAGAATTTATCACCTCTTACCCCACAGATCTTCCATCACTCACCCCACATCCTGTTATCCCGCAGACCACCTAGGACGTACCCACAGATTCCCATCATTCACCCCACAGACCCGCCCCCATCACTCCTCCCACAATTTCTCTTATTAACCTCATAGACCTTGAGGTCTACCCATAAAACAAATGGGTACTTGAGGAATTTTGAGATGACAAAAGAATGAAAAAACGACAAGATATCCAAAGACTGGCTCCCAGTGACCTGTGCAGAGCAGAACTTCAGTTCAAATCCTGGTTCTACTCAAGCCTACAAGCGTAGCTTTTGACAAATGCCTCAGTGCTAAAGCCAAAGCCAGACACGGCCCACCTTGTGTCCATTGCACTTACCCTCTGTGCCACTAACTGTCCCTTTGACCTTGAGCATGTTTCTCTCTGACCTTCAGTGCTCTCATCTGTAAAATTCTAATAATAGTACCTCCCTCAGAGGGTTTTTATGCAGATTAAATCAATTAATACATGTAGACTATCTGGCATATACTTTGTATTTGTTGAATGGAAGGATAAATAAATGAATGAAAGAAAAACATCTCCCCAGGACTATGACAAGGACTTCTTTTTTATCTCCTTGTTTCCAGTAGTATCTTTCCATCCAAGCCCCCCCCCCAACCAAGACAAGACATCTGACCACATTATACCCCCATTTAAAACCTGTGCTTTAGTGCCCTCAGGATTAAATTCCAAAATCCAGGCTAATATTTTGCTTATCCCACCCTATGATAATTTTAATGAGAAGCAGACTCGATTTTTTTTTAACTTTTTCTTGTTTTTGAGAGACAGAGACAGAGAAGGAGCAAGGGAGGGGCAGAGAGAGGGAGACACAGAATCTGAAGCAGGCTCCAGGCTCTGAGCTAGCTCTCAAAAAAAATTCCCCATTATTTATACCTTCTAGAAAATCGATTATCTAATATTAATACCAAGGATACCAAGGAAACAAGAAGACACCAAAATAGCAGACTTCCCTAAAAAGTTAATGTTAAAGGGTAGCATTCATATCACATTGCAACCATAACTGAAGTCCAGGCGTCTTGCAGGACTCCTTTGTTAGAAATTACATTTGTAAGGGCAGTCTGTATTTTGTCTAAACCATATGGATGTGCAATGAAGTGAGAAGCATGCCTTCAGAATGCATTTTGTGATTTGGGGAGTCTGAATTATGTTCGATCATTCAGCTGATATTTAGTGGACATACACTGTTTAATAACAGGACTGACCTCAATGTGTTGTGAGGATTAAGTAAAACGAAGGCAAACAAAAAGCTAGGACCTCCAGAGAGCGTAAAAATCAATTTTTTTGGTAAGTTATTTATCATTCAGACAGAAACTGCAAAAGTCATGTTCCACGAATTTTCACAAAGTAAACCATTTTTCAAAGATTCTGAAAAAGGGATTATTTTCCCGTTCAGCAGACTCTTGAAGCCAGGGCCACAGGCATTTGAAATAGATGACATCATCTGCTATGCAGAAGCGGGAGACGACTAGCGGCGGGATGCAGGGGCTTTGACGCCAAGAGCAGCTGCTTCCTTTCCCCGCCCACTCCTCTCGCCTGAATGGGTGGTTACTGTAACACACGTAGGTGAATCCGGAAGTAAAGTGTCCAAACAACCAAACCGCAGACGACGGGAGGCGGGACCTCAGTAGGCGCCTGCGCACTGGCTGAAGTGAAGCATCACATTCGGCTCCTGGGGGCGGGATACCTGGCAACAGCATCCTACACGCATGCGTAGAGGCGGTCTCCACCCTGTGCCAGGTGGGAGGGGCAGTGTGGGGGGCAGGGTCGCACGGCGCCCTCTGCGCCTGCGCTCAGGCGGAAGGTGGGGCCGCGGGCGCCCGCACTCTGTAGAGTGTTCACCGGAGTGGGGGGCAACGGTCAACCGTCGCCCTGAGGCGGGAGGCGGCGGGATGGCGTCGGCCTCAGGATCCTCGGACTTGGCCGGCTCTGGAGCGCCCCCACCTGGTGGGGGAGCCCAGGCGGCGGCGGCTGAGGAGGAGGAGCGAGAGGTGGTACGGGTCCGAGTCAAGGTGAGGCTGACAGCTGATCCGCCTGCCCGACTGGGGTGCCCACAGGAGGGGAAGGCGGTGACTGCCCTAGGTTGGAGGGCGGGACCCGAGATCTGGGGTGTTACCTGAGGGGCGAGGCTTGAGGGCGGAATGATAGTGGTGGGGACCGGGGGCGGGGGAGAGGCAGGACCTGGGAATGCTGGGCAGGGCCTGAGGATGTAGGGACTGAAAATGGAGGGGTTAGGGGCCTAAGAAATGGAAGAGTGGAGATTATGGGTAGAGAGGAGGGGCTGGAAGGCTGGAGGAGGGGCCATAATAGTTAAGGAGTGAGGCCCTGAGGAATGAGGGGGGGGCTGCTGGTGTCTGAAAAGGAGGTGCTGAAATCAATTAACATGTGTGTTGAGACTACACTTTTGTTCCATGTCCCCACCCTCGATGAGCTGACATGCTTGTCGGGAAGACAAACAGCTAAATAAATGAGATGCTTTGGACACTGGTGAATGTCATGAAGAAATAACGAAAAGCCTTCTGAACTAGGGAGTTACTTTCGCCAAGGTTGTACCGGGAAGTCCCTAGAGACCTATTGAAGGAGCAGAGACCCAGATAAAAAAGGAATCAGCCATATGCATACCGGAGGAAGAGTGGAAGCAGAGAGAACAGCAAGGGCAAAGGCTGGAAGATGGGAATGAGCTTGGCATGTTCCCATAGGTTCCCATATTTCAGGAGAGAAAGAGCAAGGGCAAGAGTGGGTAGGAGGCAAAGCAAAGAGGTAAGAGAGGGGCAGACTGTGAAGGGCCTTTGGCATGTATTCTGAGTAGGAAAGCTGTTGTGATAGTTTCAGCAAGTGGTGATGGTGGCTCGGACTAGGGTGGTGGCATTGGTGTTGATGAGAAGAAGGTAGATTCTGGAAAGAAGTTAACAGATCACCTTAGGGTAATACAGGGAGCTCTAAGGTAGAGGTTTGGGAATTCAGAAGAGTAGATGCCTGAGCTGTGAGTGAGCAAGTTGAAGAAAGGAGGAAGGACTTTCCAGACAGGGGGAACAGCAGAAACAAAGTCCTGGACCCAGGATGTATTCAAAGTAACTTCCAGCCATTTGGTAGTACCGGAGTGTGAAGTTCAAAAAAGCTGACTGAAGAGAGGCTGGCTAGGGTCCTATAGACCCACCTTCTAGGGACCCTGGGGTTGCCTTTGAAGAGATTTAAGCAGGGGAGTATTATTGATAGATGTGCCAAATTGGTGCAGCATGGAGTATTGATTTAATGGGGGCCACACTGGACATAGTGATCCTGACAACCATCGGGAGGACACAGAAGAAGGATTGGGTGGGGGCGCCTGAGTGGCTCAGTTGGTTAAGCATCCAGCTTTGGCTCAGGTCATGATCTCGTGGTTTGTGAGTTCAAGCTCCTCATCGGGCTGTCTGCTGTCAGTACAGAGCCCACTTCGGATCCTCTGTACCCCTCTCTCTCTAAAATAATTTTTTTTAAAAGAAGGATTGGGTATCTTGACTATTGCAGTAGCCTCCTCCTCACTGGACTGCTGCTTTCTCCCTTGCCCCCAATAGTCTGTTCCTCCAAGAGCATCCAGAAGGATCCTGTTAAATCCTAAGTCAGATCACATCCCTCCTCTGTACAGAACCCTCCAAGTCAAAAGCCAAAGCCCTCACCATGGCCCAGAACACCTGCCCCCATCTGCCCCTCCCCCAACCCTCCTGACCTTGCCTCCTATCCCTCACTCCACTTCATTATGGTGATGTCACACCTGGTGGCCCTGTGTCTTCTCTCCCTAGAAGTGTGAGAGCTTCTTGCCACCTGAGTTCCGCTCTTTTGCTGTTGACCCCCAGATCACCTCGCTCGATGTATTACAGCACATCCTCATCCGAGCCTTTGACTTAAACGGGTGAGTTATGGGATGCTGGGAGACCAACCATTGGGCCACCTACCTCAACAGTGGTTGTTTGGCTTTTAAGTTGTTGTTTGGTAGGGCTTTTGTTTGTTACTTTGTTTTATTATTACGAACAGTCCCCCAATGAACTGCCACTTTTGCCTATATGAGAATATTTGGGGAAATCTGCTCATAGGATAAATTCCTAGCAGTGGTATTTCTAGGTTAAAGGGTGTATGCTTTTTAAAAATTCAATGGATGTTTCCAAAATGCTCTCCAGACAGGTTTTTTAGTGATTTACAGTCTCACCAGCAGCATATAAAATGCCTGTTTTCCTCAGAAACATTGGTTACTAGAAAACATTGGAAAATTTGCCAACCTGATACATGAAACGTGGTGTCTCTGGGGACAGGTGTGATGGTTATTTTGTTGTGGTTGTTATTTTGGAGGAATACATGCACATGGTAGCAAATTCAAAGAATACCAAAGCCATAGGTACTTAATGCTATTTCCATGGTTACCTTAGTTATCACACTTGCCCAAGTGTAAGTGAAGAATAAATTCTTAGTTGTTGTTTGGCTTTTTTGCATAAACATATTTTCGTTGTGAAAACTAAACATACAGATTGCTTTATTTTGTACGCAGTAGAAAGGCAGCTTTCTTCCCACCTCTATCCCTGAACTACCCTGTTACCCTCCCTAGAGGGGACTAATAATCTAAGTTTTCAGTGTGCCCTCTAGATATAGGCACACTGTGTATCTGTTTCTGTGTTTGTGTAACAAAGTACAGATAAACAATCTGACCTCAAGCTGCCCACAGTCTTTGGCACAGTACCCAACACAAGGTAGGGAGTTGTTCATCATTGTCTCTGTCTTCCCTGGCATCTTGTGGAAACTGTCCCTGAGGCCGCTAGGGCACTGGGGCACTTGAAAGCCGCCGCACTTCCTCTATCCAGGAAGAAGAACTTTGGCATCAGCTACCTAGGCCGGGATCGGCTTGGGCAGGAAACTTACCTCTCACTCCTCTCTGACTGGGACCTCAGCACGGCCTTCGCCACAGCCTCCAAACCTTACCTGCAGCTGCGGGTAGACATTCGGCCCACTGAGGACAGTGAGTACCTGGCACCCCGGGGTGGGGGTGGGGGGGCACTGCTCTGGGACCCACCCTTTCTGTAAAGGATGACTCCACCACTTACAATACACTCCCTCACAGTGGGCTTAGGAAGAATGTATCCTAGGTCCAAATGCTGGCTTGGCCACTAGGCCTCAATTTCTTTACCTGTAAGGTAGAAAAAATGGAATCTTAGGGCCATTGTGAGGATCAAACAGAGAAATTCATGTAAAATGAACAGTGCATGGTTGCATAGTGAAAGCTCAAAAAGTATTACCTCTAACAACCATAATTATTATATTATACTTACTGTTATAACGTATAATCTAGTGATATAAACTATAAGTATATAATGCAGTATAACAATAGAAGTATGGTATTGTATGTCTCTGTTATAATAACACATAAATATAACAATACTGATTATAATAATGATGGTTGTATTTATTCATTCATCCTGACTCATGCTCATTGTTTTCAATCTTACTCATTCATCACTGCCTTGATCTCTCAGCCACTTCTTCTCTTCTCATGTTTGTT